CTCAAAAGCCATACGGAATTTTCCCTAAAACTGTAAAACACCCTATATGCCTTATATGTCAAATCATCCCAAAACACCAATTCATTAACATTGACTTATACTCCATCACTATCAATTACTAGTTATCATCAAACACAAACACACCAATAAACATTATACTTACCAATTATCCTATACTTCCTACTCTAGAACCAACATTACGGTACATTACCGACACTTCAGAGTCACTCTGAATCTCACCAAGGTCCTAACCATAGTCATTAACGACACTATAAGGAAACAACACATAATCTTCCCCAAAGCTATAATCATGGTCATTACCCACACTACAGTAACAACACAAAATCTCACCAAAACTCTATTTATATTTACTATCGACGCTGCAGTAACAACATATAATCTCACTAACATCACCATAATATATATACACCAAATTCACCAATACCAATCAACAATTCATCAATGTCAAGCATCAATTTATCATTAGCAACAATAATAACAAGCATGCCAATATAAAACTTCATAGATCGGAATTTTCCTACGGGGTTAAGGAATCCCATCTACCCTATACATGTATATACCATCCCAATCAAGTTTCTCCCCCTTACCTTGTTAGTCGGTTGATCGATGAAAGAATCCTCCAAGGTTTGGCCAATTCTGATTTCCCCCCGTTCCTTCGTTCTTCGCTCCCTTTTCCGTTCCCTTTTCCGTTCTTCTCACTTCTCTCCTTTCTATCGTGACTTCTCACACTTCTCTCTAACTTCCCACAATGTATCGTAAAACTAATGACCCCTCAAATTCCCTATTTTAATTCTCTAATCCCAATAATAATAATAACAAATAAAATAATATAATAATATTACTAATATTAATAATACTAATCATAATAATACTATTAATAATAATAACAATAATAATAATAATGTTATTATCTCACCAAAATAATAATAATAATAATAATAATAATGAATATAATAAATATAATAATAATAATACCCCCACCAATATTACTATTAGTTATTATATTATTATATCTACACCAATTCACCACCAATAATCCTCCCATATCAGGGACACCCACCAATAATAATATTCATACTGATGATAATAATCATAATAATAATAATAATAATAATAATAATAATAATAATAATAATAATAATACCACCAATATTACTATTAACTATTATATTATTATCTCCACACCACCAATGATCCTTATATATCAAGGATACTCACCAATCACATGCCAGCACACCCCACCTAAGGGCACACCAACATAAAATAATTAAATTAACACCAAAATGACTAAATAAATAAAATGGGTGTTACACTACAACTGCCTACTATATGCTTCCTCAAAACTCTTAAAATGCATTCTGTTAGGCAAAGGCCTATCAGCACACGACCCGCTAAAAAAATTTCAAAGTGACATTTGACTTCACTTTTCACTTGACATGCTTCCTCCAAATGAACCCCTTCATAATCCATCACACTAATGAAGTTTCTTCTATGAAGCTCCTTTGAAGAAATGTGAAAGAACCGAGAGTTTCTATCCCCTACTTTCAACCAAAGTTGTCTAGATTTGTCCCTCAACATACCTTCCTTGAACACCAAATTTCTCCACAAACTATCAATGCAAAGAGATCTATCTTCGACTAGCTTGCCAACAGACCCGCCAAAGTTATTAATTATCATGTTATCCAACTCATTAATATCATTGACTTGGTTCTCCACCCTACAGACAGGCTCCTCGGGGATCCGCCGGAGATGACCATGGCTCTTGGAAAGTATTCCCATCGACTGGTGGGGTGTACCGACTCGTTGGGCAGATCAGGGCCGTCGGGGAGGCCGAATTCTCTATGAGCGAACCAATCCTCAGGGCGGCTGATGCATAGGGTGACCTGGAGGCCGTTGTCACCGTATGAAGAGGGAAGCTCTTCGACTCTCTTGGCCTCGGGAGCGTCTTGCCTCGGGGTTTCTCCTCCACAGGTGTATCTCTTCAGATGGTCGACTTTAATCAGGATTTCGATCGTGTCCTTGAGGTGGATGCAGTCTTCTGTAACATGCCCGTGGCTCCTGTGGAAACGACAGTACTTCGATTTGTCCACGTTAGGCTTGGGGGGTATCGGTCTGGGGAAGCGGACACCTCCCTGGACGAATTCGGTCTTGGCGCATTCGGCCAGTATGCGCTCGCGGGAAGCAACTAGGGCCGTATACTCCGTGAATCGGCCGGCGGGACCGCGATGCTCGCTTTATTCGCGGGGGAGGTCCTCCTGTCGGCGATCACCTCCGCACCGGTGGCTTGAAGCTCCGTCCTCTTGGTGCCCGCGGGGGGCCTCTCTATCTCGCGTGTCTCAGGCGGAGTTTGCTGCTTGGGTCTCCTCGAACCGGATATAATGCGCGGCTCTGTTGAGGAAGTCCTGTAGGAAGGCTGGTCGGTGTATGCCCACGACCTCGTAGAATTTGGAGTCGCGGTGCAGGCCCTGCTCCATTAGGTAACGCTTCATCTCGTCTGATGTCGTCACCTGCACTGCCTCCCGTGTGAATCTTTTCGATGTACTTCCATAGAGGCTTGTCGGGAGCTTGGATTATAGTGTCGAGTGCGGCTTCCGTCTTCGGATGGCGTCTGGATGCTGTGAAGTGTTTAGAGAACAGGTCCTTCAGAACCTTCCATGACATGACCGATTCGGGCTCCAGACTTTTGTACCACGTCATGGCACCTTTCCTCAACGTCGTCGGGAATAGTCTGCATTTGATAGCTCCTCGGACATTTCGGTAGTCGAGTATGGCCTCGATGTCTTCCAGGTGGTCGTCTGGGTCGGAGGTGCCGTCGTACGTCGAGAGCGTCGGGGGCTTCTCTATCCCGTGGGGGATGGGGCGACCATGATTTCCCGGGACAGAGGAGTCCTGTAGTCGTCTTCGTCGCTGAGAGTGGACGACTGAGGGGGAGATGGGCCGTTTGGTGGATGCACCTGGTTTCGGCCCCTCGACCTCCTGACCGAGGGTTCGACGCGTGAAGGCCTGGCCGGGGGATCTGCTCTGTTTTTCCGTCTCTCACGGACTTGTCTCGTTGGGGATCTGGTCCGCTCCCGCACTACTTCGGTTCGGGGCCTCTCCAGTCGGGGCCGTCGATATCTGGGACGAGGCGAAGGGCTCATAGAGTTCCCATTCTGGTCTTCCCGCGGAGGGGACCTTAACGGGACCTCGCGCTCTAATGCACCAATCCGTGCGTTTTGTTGACATGACAACTGGTTCGTCTGGTTGATGGTCGCGAAGAGGGCGCCCACAGTCGGGTCCGCACCGGCCGGGACAGGAATAGGCTGGAACGCTGCTGGGCTCCGGGGTCGGTGGACAGTCTAGTGTGCTGCTTTCGTGGACGAAGGAGAGGCGGTCTAACTGTCTCTCTCGTCGGTCTCCGGTGGACGGGACGTCTCCGTTTGCTTGCTGCCGTTCGCGGCAGGGGTGAGGATGAAGTCGTGAACGACATCGACGTAGTGTGGGCTAGCCATGATCGTGGAGTGTTGATGAAACTTTGGTTTGCTGCTCGGAGTAACGGGGAAGTTTCCGTCCCCACAGTCGGCGCCATTGATCTGTCCTGATCAGAAGGGGATCACTAGCTGGCCACACTCTGTTGGGCTGCTGTCTGTTCATCGGTGATGAGGAGGAGGAGGGGGTGTACCTGCAAGACACTCCGATGCCAAAGTAAGTATACGGGCAGGGTGATCACAAGTACAGAAAAATGAGTAAGAAGTGAATTACCTGACCCTCTTGTGAAAGAGGGTATTTATAGATTGACCCCAGCGTTAGGCCAACGGTCACTTGCGTTGGGCTGGATTGCCAGACCCAACCCAGGTGACTGTTAGGGCTTACGTGGCGTAGTGAAGACCAGGACGTGATCTTCACCCTAGTCCATCTGTCCCGTGATCTCCGAAAAATGGGTTTGACCTGCTCTTTCGGAGGTGGGCAGTTGGTCGGTGACGTGTCTCCGCGGAGGGGAGCATGTGGAGAACGTGTGAAGGACACGTTGTCCTGCCCGACATGGGGCTTGTTCTGCCCACGAAGAGGGTAGTGTTTGGTCGAAAGGGGAGTCTTTTGTCCGACGTAGTTGGGGCAGGTCCTGCCCGCGGGGGACATTTCCTGCTCGTTGGGGACCCTGTGCCCGACACTGTGGCCCAAGCTAAACTGGGCTTGGCGGAATATTATTGGGCTGGGTCTGCGTTGCCAAGCCCAGGCCAGAACAATGTATATATATATATATATATATATATATATATATATATATATATATATATATATATATATATATATATATATATATATATATATATATATATATATATATATATATATATATATATATATATATATATATATATATATATATATATATATATATATATATATATATATATCATTTTTATGTAATTTATTATTTTTAATTTTAATATATTTCTATATAGATATAAACGTCTTAATAGTATAATATCAATTGTCATCTTTATTTTATTCTACTTACTATCTCTTTCACAACTTTATTTTAACATATTTTATTGTATTTATTTTTTGATATTTAATATAATTAATTATTTTTCCATGATGAAAAATAAATAAATGTAATTTTGATTTTGCATGATAATAACATATGTGGTACATGTATTTTGAGTCTCCAAAAACAAGAATGTCGATATAACAAAATTGAAGAAATATCTAACACAATCACCAAAATTACAAAATAACAATAATCCAATTTTAAATTATAATCATAAATATTTCTGAAACTAAAACCAAATAATTAAAAATATTGATTGAATAAGAAATAGATAAAAATAAAAGGGTATTTTGCAAAACGGAAGAACAAAAACTGCGAAAACGAAATTGAAGAAGAAGAAGCAGTGGAAGAAGCTCCGAGGCAGTGACTGAATCATCGTCATCACTGCTGAGAGAGAGAGAGAGAGAGAGAGAGAGAGAGAGAGAGAGAGAGAGAGAGAGAGAGAGAGATGTCTGACCTAGACAGACAAATTGAACAGCTGAAACGATGCGAACCTCTGAAGGAATCTGAAGTGAAAGCTCTCTGCCTCAAAGCCATTGAAATCCTTGTCGAAGAAAGCAATGTTCAAAGGGTCGACGCTCCTGTCACTGTTAGTCACTTTTTCTCTTCGAATTTCGATTTTTCTCTGTATAATATGTTAGGTTAAGAATTAGAACTACTCTTACTTGGAATATCAATTTATCTAGGGCACACTTTAATAATCAGTAGTTGATTTTAGGATTAGTGTTTCAAGGTGATTTGGTAGGTTTTGTGCTTTTTTCTATTATTTTTCATCAATTTTGATTTTTTTTACTGTAATATTGGTTTGTGATTTTTTTTTTGTTGCTATGGAACTGATAACTACTTTGGTGGTTGTGTTTTTGTTGTTTGTAGATATGTGGGGATATTCATGGACAGTTTTATGATATGAAAGAGCTTTTTAAAGTAGGAGGTGATTGCCCCAAAACTAACTATTTGTTCCTTGGGGATTTTGTTGATAGAGGCTTTTACTCCGTCGAAACGTTTCTGCTCTTGCTCGCTCTCAAGGTGATAACCCTTTGTTCTTGTCTTGTATAGTTTTTTTATCCGATGTAATTGTTAGCTAGAAGTGTTTTGATTGGTTGTTTTTAGAGAATCTGTAGTTTTTGTTGTGTTGTGGTGTATGTTTTAGATCTGTGTTTGGCTTCGGTACAACTAGTTTATTATAGAATAGAAATGCTCTCTTATGATTTCTGGGTTGTGGGATTGGTAATAGGATAATGTAATGTGTTCAAGGGAACTTGATGCTTTTTTTGGGATAAAAATTTGTTAGTTATTGGAATGAAATTCTACAAGCCTTTTTGTGGGATGGCATTAGTGGCTAAACTTGAAAATCTGTCAGTGGGGGCTTTATTGGTGATCTTTTTGTAATCTGGTATTGAGGTTTTGTTGGTGAAATCAAGAATGAGACACTTTCAAATTTTGTTCTTTTGGCTGGTTGTTGATGCACTTGGATGGAATGTTATGCTGCCTTTTTTCAGTCAGCAATTTCTTCTGCTCTCAGGAATTTTGTACACCCTTCGTAGGTTTCTGATCATGTTTTTTAGGGAGTCTTATGTCTATAATGAGGAGTGATAACCCAATTGCTAGACAATGTTGTCAAATAGTGGCAGTAAAGTGTTATTGCTTAGTGGAATTTGATCACGTCACTGTTGTTATGTGATATGCAAGTTAATACAACGTGTTGTCAACTAGAGGCACTATAACGCTGTAGCGTAGCAAAATTTTAACAAACAACTATTTTCTGGAATATGTAATTAACAGTGTTGTGTTGTCCATGGCGGAGAGCCAAAATCCCGCCATATCTGCCTCTTTGCGGCACCGTTATAGCGGATTATGGCGGAAAAACCCACAATATCGGCCAATATTAACCATTGCGGTGAGCCCCAAAACCACCATGTATATTGGCCATAGCGGCCATGACGCCGCTATTTGATAGCACTGCTAATTAACAACACTTAAGTAAGAGATAGAGGGTGCTCAAGGAAAACTGCATGTCAACCATAGACTTTAGATGCTTGGAGATACATGAAGTAATCATGAACTTAATACTCCAGGAGGTTCTGCAGCGTTTATTGGTCCACCTACCACTTTCTAAGGGAATGATTAATTTGTTATTGTCGTTGTTGCTTTATCTATAATGCAACGGAGCTGTTGTTTGCTTTTGAACTTGTGCTTTTTCTCTATATGTTGTTATATTTTCATTATTTTTAGAAAGAATGCCTGGAGCTCCTTCTTCCCGCTTTGTTTATCTCTTTATAATTCTTCGTACTATTAATATTGATAAAGTTTTGAGTTAGCTGTCTAGTTAAACTATTTTTTATAATTTATTTAAATGAAAAACAAAAGTTAAAAGGGTTTTATCTATTCCCTTAAAGAAGGGTTTATCAGTTTCTGGATCACTCATTCCTTTTAAGCCATTATCTGCACTTTTTTCATTTTGTTCATTAATTTTGTAACTAATTAGTGACATACAATCAGGTGAGGTATCCAGATCGAATAACACTCATTAGGGGAAACCATGAAAGTCGTCAGATCACACAGGTTTGTCTATTAGCTTAAGTGGAATAATGAATAAAAGTAAAGGGGAAAAGGCACTTAAATATTTCTCAACAATTTTTTACTTTGGAATACTTATTCATTATCCATCACTTGACAGGTATACGGTTTCTATGACGAATGCCTTCGGAAATATGGTTCAGTAAATGTTTGGAGATATTGTACTGACATATTCGATTACTTAAGGTTTGCTGCTATCTAATAGATGTCAAAAATTTATTTGTACAAATGTTTCTTTGGAGAGGGTGAGTTTTGGTACAATTGTGAGGTTGTTGCCTTATGACCTAGAGGTCACAGGTTCAAATCCTAGAAAGTCTTTCCTTTTGCAAGAGTGAGACTGCACACATTTACCATCCCCAGGCCCAGATTCCACTTGGCGGGAGCCTTGTGCACTGGGCCGCCCGATCGCCCATGTGTGTTTTGTGAAGGGGTAGCTCCCATATGCAAAACTAAAATAAAGACATGTTTATATTTATATCTCAATCTGCTTTATGTCATCCGCAAGGCTCCTATCAAGTGGAGTCTGGCCTGGGAGCTTAGATGTACGCAGCCTCACCCGAGATGGACATTTTACCACAAACTGCAATTTCATACTATGTTGTTGCTGACATCTCTTTCTTTTCCATGTCTGTTTTATGAGTACAGGAGCTGCGTCTTGTGCTTTTCATTGGGTATTTTTTTCCACAAAGAAAACTATATGATAAATTTTTGAAAACTAAGCTCTTTTTTGGGAAACTTTTTCTGGATTGTTTTTCTCTGTTATTCTTTCGACTGTCAAATTCATGATTGAAGTGTTTCTACCGCTTTCACTGTTACTTGCAAAGTTTATGCATTATCCTTTCTATTTTAGAGTAAAGGAGTGTAGGTGGATACAAGCTAGGCTAATATTAGAAGGATGCTTTATGCAGCTCGTCTTTGTGTCTTTTTAAGAGGAAAATGAGTTGAGGTGGGGGATTCCAAGAACCACAGACCATATATTTTGACAGCCTTGTCAAATAATATAGAGAAGAAAAATGCTAGCAACTCACTATGAGGCCACATGATGGATGGTTACACAGTAATTGTGAGGGTGTAGAAAATATTGGTATTTTCATGTTTTGCTAGCATTTTTATTTATAGAAATAACCCAAAAAGAAATTAGGGTTTTAATGGAACATTGCATGTATGTAGCTGCTTATTTTTTTAATAAAATTAGTTTCATTTACATACTTATTTGTTTTAACGTGCATTTTTGCTAATGACTTTCATTGATAATGATAAACTGCAGCTTGTCTGCTCTAATTGAAAACAAGATTTTCAGTGTTCATGGTGGCCTCTCTCCTGCCATCACAACATTGGATCAGGTTAGATGTTTTACGCCAATTTATGTGTCTAAAGATTTAGTCTTAGATTGTATAATTGACATTATACAGATTATTTTTTATTCATATCCAGATACGAACTATTGATAGAAAGCAAGAGGTACCTCATGACGGTGCCATGTGTGACCTCCTATGGTCAGATCCTGAAGATATTGTGGATGGATGGGGTCTGAGTCCCCGTGGTGCTGGTTTCTTGTTTGGCGGTAGTGTTGTTTCTTCGTTTAACCACACCAATAACATTGACTATATTTGCCGAGCTCATCAGTTGGTAATGGAAGGATATAAATGGATGTTCAATAACCAGATAGTTACTGTTTGGTCAGCTCCAAATTATTGCTACAGGTACATAAACAATCCAAATATCTGTTATTATTATTTGTGTTCTGGTGTATTTAATAAGAAATTTCTGTCTTTGTTACAGATGTGGTAATGTAGCTGCAATTTTGGAATTAGATGGCAATCTTAATAAGCAGTTTCGTGTGTTTGAGGCTGCACCACAGGTTTGTTGGCAAAATCACTTGATTTTGATTATTATTGTTATAAACTTGGTGCGTAGATACGCTATATGGATTATTGTTTCCTAAATCAGCAGCAACTCAAGCGTCAATCCCTTTATGACAAATCCGTTGATTCATGTCGTAAAGAATGCACCTCTTATGCATCCTACTGAATTTACATATGAGGGACTTTTCATTTGAATGTACTATCTATGCATGTTTGAGCAAACAATTGGTGGGTCGTATTCTTTGCCACCAATGCAAAAACTAACTTGTTCATTGGTCGATATCGATTTTCAAATTTTAATGAATCACAGGACTCAAGAGGCGCACCTGCCAAGAAACCAGCGCCAGATTACTTCTTATAAAGCAGCTTTCTTTGTTTCTATATCTGAATACACGAATTGACGAACGAGACGTTTGATTGAATCAAGGAGGAGATGTCTGTAACGGGATGAATCAGTGACAGGCTTTTGTCAATTCTGGAGGCAGGAGTATGTGGTACATGCTTGTGCATCTGCTTGCTTCATGCGTCATTATTATTGTAGCAGTGTTGTGAATTAGTATGATTGATTTGGAAATATGTGATTCTTACCTTTGTTCATTCAGAAGATGTGATGGACAGAGGTTTTATTTAGAAAGAAAACAACATTTGCATATATGAGAACTTGATTAGGAAGAGTTGGATTGGATTGGATCAGGGAATATTGGGAGTCCATATAATCCTGTGGAGGAAAAAAACCCACTATTCAAGTTTTGTTATTTGTTTGGGTTATAGAAGTTTGTTATTCAATTTATGTAGCATGCGAGTATTATATATGTATCATTGCTTAGATTTTGCACTATTTGGTTAGTATTGGAATCATGCATCTACTGAATCCAAAGGTTCATTTGTCAAAGAAAATGGTCCTTATCAACCGAAATTCTTGATGCATACAAATGCATGGAACTTTCTAATGTCTCTCAAAATCACTCGGAACTCAGGGTCTCAGGACTGTTCATTTGTTCATTCCTCTTCTTTTTTTTTTTTGTGTGTGTTAATTGATAATCTAATAATTAAGTCTTAATTAGAGAATTATTATAACTTAAATTAAATTAGAAATAAAAGTATCCGAGTATGTTTTGGAATCCTATTAGGATGCTTAAGTGATTTTGACAGATGGTTTAATTATAATTTTTTAATATTAGCAATTAATAATAACTCAATTCTTTAGATGCCACACTTCAAAAAGTTGAAAAAAATGCAGTTGTAATTTTTCAAGAAAGTCAATACATATATTTCTACAAATAGTATCTTATCTTATGCTTCCAGGACAAAGGTTAACATTTTCTTTATTTTATTACATTTTTGGTTAAACATTTATTATTATTATTTTGAATAAGTTAGTCTTTTAATTTTTTTTTTAAAATAATAAATTAGTTCTTTAGGTCATAAAATATATTTAGCATTTATGACATAAAATATATGATTATTTTAAAAGAGTTTAAGTAGTCATTGAATATCGAGTAGAAGGTTTAAAAAGAAATTTAAATCTAATTTATACACATTCTTCTTTTTCTTTTTGAATTTGAATTTAAATTTAACTGAACATAAAATATCATTAACATCATAAATTAAATATTCAATCAATTTCAATATAAACCACCAATTTATCTATTAAATACAAAACTTAAAAACTAAACAACATTTGCATCCTAAATATTTTGTTGGCATTACGCAAAAATTTAAAAATACTCTTAATTTTCATAGATGCATCTCTGGACGCGTCCTAACACACGCTCAATACATACTGACGTCTTATTATTTGATTATTTTTATTTCGAATATGCATATTCGGAATGTTTCTGTATTTACATTTTCGTAACACAAACACATTAGTAGAAGAAGTAAAACATGTAATTTTTAAAAATAAAATTAAGATTTATAAATTAGGATTACATAGATCATTTCGACATAAAATTCAATATTACTTCAATATCCAGGTGGATGCTTCAACATCTTCGCAATATCTTCGACCGATCTTGAAATTGTCGCTTCCAATTTGAGCAAAACTTTTGTTTTGAAACAAAAATATGTATTATGCATAACCCTTACATTTGCTTGCGTCTTGAGCTTAAACTTGTTGAACTCAATCTTTCTTCCGTTGTTAATTGACAGTGAACGGTACACGAGCTTCATAATCCTTCGATTGCCTCCGCAAGGTAGGAGATTATGAATTTCGTCTTTGATATCTTTGAGAGAGGTGTATTCGGTGAGCTTAAACGTTCGTCTGAGTGTAGAGATGGAGAAGGAGATATTTGTGACATACCAGTTGATGCTTATCTGTGATATTTGAGACATTTTAAGTTTGTGTGAAATATAGTATAAAAGCACCTTAATTTATAGAAGCGATAGATCAATATGGACCACTCAATAACCGACATGCTGGTTTAAGAGATATATCTCTGATTCCACACCCTATTATCTTGTTCCGAATATGCATCTCTGAAACCTCTCATGAACCAGTTTCAAAATAGATCTTTTTTTTTTTACAAAAGAACAAATGTTGTTATGGGGAAGATAAAAAAATGCATTAAGACACAATATAAACCAATGTTGAATATATTACACTTCATTTATATTGTGACACAATTACATATACTTATTTATCCAACTAAATAAGAAATTAAAACGAATCAAAACATATGTTGTCGGATAAATCTATGGGGTGGTACCCCCTTGAAATTTATTGCATTTGATTCTCTTTCAATGTTACTCAATTTTTCGAACTCTTGCATCCTTTCCATAAAATGATCTGGCTAAGTCTCGACTTTTGTTGTTGAATGAGCAATCAACTCTGGTGATGTAAGTGGTATAGGGCATCCCGCTTTCAAGTAATCTTGAACAAATTGACTTGATTTTGAAATCCACCCAATACACATAATATGTTCATTTGGATTTTGAGGTTAGGCGGTGCGTAGTGAGAAAAAGGTTTCCAAAAACCGTATCGTGTCAGACCAACACATACTCTATCATACACACATGCTATTAGGTGACCAATTTTAGGGAAGTGCATCCATTTTGCCTCTGGTGCCGGATCGCTAAGGCAAATAACAAAATAATTATAAACTATATTGAATTTTTATTTCTTTCTGTTCCACCGTGTGTATGATTCTTTATGTGTCCTCAACTCTTGGATAAGTTAATGGCAGATAAATATATGATTATCTACTCCTTTATCGAGTAAAGTCGAAACTCCTCGATAATCGCAATTAGCATCCCCCACAACATTGACGATCCACTCGATGTATTTGTGCATAAAAGCAGACATCTCATCGATGAATGAAGCTTTTGGTGGAGGCGGAGTAAGAGGTGGTTTGCTAATGCGAGCTCCTTTGACAACACTTTTTTGAGATTTTGGAGTTGGTGAGTCGGAAAAAACTTTGTCAACATGTTCAAAATATTAAGCAGTCAATGTAGCCGAATTGTCATTGTATGCTTTATTTTCTTCGAAGCACCTTTTGTTTTTACTAGTTGAGAGGGTGGTTTCATGTTGGTGGTTTCCGAATAGGCATTCTTCCTCAATTGCTTTTTGACGTGGAGTTTCATGTTGTCACTGGCTTTCAAAAATATGCCTTGTATCACTTCTCATTCAGTCAAAATAGAAATATTCAATTTACCATCATTCATGACACCATCAACTTCAAACCTAAGTCTCTTCTGTTAGACGATGACACTGATCTAGAAGGAAGGGGGTTGAATAGATTACTAATTTTTAAAAACGTGCGTGTTAAACATTTGTTTTACAAAATTGTGTGAAAGCGACCTTAGATCAAAAATCGTCTAAACGAACCGTTATTGGATAGATCGGATATGCGAAATCGAATGGAATAATTTTGATGAGATAATCGAATCAACAATTTTCACAATCAATTATTCAAATGAAAAACACTTAAGGTGAACCAAATTCCAATGATTAATTGTGGATAAAATTGAATTGACAATATGTCGAACAGTTAGTGTGTTATCAATTTATCGAACACTTGGCATGCAAAAAACTCCAAGACAATTTCCTTTGATTTGTAGTGCAGAATTTTTCACAACTTGCAATCAAAGTGATTACAATGGTTTTTCACAACAACTTTTAACACTACAAATCAATCAAAATATTTCAATAGTTAATCACACACAAAATTCAACAATGTAAAGTAAAGAAATAGAGAGAGAACGACACCCGATTTGTTTAGGAAGTTCCTCTTTCGTCCTCGCTTCGGGTATGTCTTCCCTCAGTTCTAAAAATAAAATTGAGATATGTATAATATCTGTTGCAAAATTCAATTACAAGAGACATCCTAGCTAACCAACAATCTAACCCAATTGTTGAAGTTGAACCTAACCGCTTCTCTCCCCTTGATTCCAGCAAAATCAAGTGCATCAAACACTTCGAACAAACCTCTGGTTACCGCTACTCACTTGACCAAACCTTCCGTTCTTCAAGTCTTTCACTCGGATGATTTCGACCACAAGTTGTTTGACCTTAAATCTTTTAATACAATCCTCCGGTTACCATTACTCACTTGACCGAACCCACTGTTCTTCAAGTCTTTCACTCGGCTGAATATGTAATACAAATATTTGTGCAAAAACCCCCCAAATCCCTCAAGATCTTGGAGGACAAAACCCAAATGGTTTTATTCAAGAAAATCGTACTGAATCTCTACCCAAACTCGATTAACAAATCCTAAGTTTGGATGTTATTACCTCGACAAAGCACAAACCAATAAAGATGATTATGTGTGATTGGTGATGAATGCAAGTGTGAGAGTGAATATGAAAAGCAAAGCAATGTATCTTTCAATTTTCTTGTTGGTTTGAAAATGATGCATATGAGAATATATATGAGTATAAAAGAATAACAGAAAAAAATGACTTTGCAAGAGGTCTACCTACGCGCGAGAGGGCTACCTACACAAATTGTGAGTCGACCTAAACAAGTTAGAATGTAAACCTGCGCACAAAATAAGACCGTGCGTCGACCTGCAGGAAGACCATGCGTCGACGCATGAATAGGGATGACAAAAATATCCGTACTCGCGGATATCCACAGATAAAATTCGTCACGGATATGGGGCGGGTAGCTTAATGAATATCCACGAATAAAATTAATGGATATTTAAATATCTGTTTGTTAATGAATATGGATACGGGTTTAATAATATCCGTGTCCACGGATATCCATATCCGTTAATAAATTATAAAAATAATTTAAATATCATCGGTTTATCTTTTCATCTTTTAAAATAAATAATCTTATGATATTTCTTTCATTTTTAAAAAAAAAATCTTTGAAGAAAAACTTTCACATTTCATTCAAATTCTATTAGCAATTTCATATTTAAACTCTTCAATACTTCATACCCCACTTCAACAATTTCATAGTTCAACCAACTAGTGTTGTCATTCCTCTGTAGAACTAGTGTCTCTCTGGCTACTTTCTTGTCGTTTGCTATTCCATCATAACTCACAATCACAATATCTTTTATTTGTTTGGTTAAAATGAAATGTATGGATATTATGTTTGGATCTAATTATATTTTGGTGAATAAGAAGAAAATAAAAGTGATGAAATTTTATTGTTAAATTATGAGTGAATTGTATGAATGTTATGTGATAATAATTTGTGTCTTTAAAAGAAGTTAAAAAAAATATTTTTTTTTAAAAAAAATAAGTTTTATTAAAAAATATTATCCATGGATATCTAAAAATATCCACGGATACCGCAAAACCTGCAGATTACCCACTTAACGGATATCCGCATGGATATGGGACGAATATGAATATCATATTTATCCAACGGGGCGGATACGAATATCATAGTATCCGTCTCCATGGATATCCATTTACATCCCTACGCATGAAGACCAGAAAGATTCAAATTTGACTCAAACAATATGCGTCGACCTACGCAGTATCTATGTGTCGATGCAAGCATGCCAAAATGTTTCAAACATCATTTTTCTTGATTGTGAGTCGACCTATAACCTGTATGATCCTATATGCCTAGATTCATGTATGTGGATCTTTTATGTGCGTTTGAAAAAGATGAATGCATTGCTTATACAAAGTGATACCGTCCAAAGTACACAAGTACGAAATTTCATAGTTTTGACATCATTAAAACAAAGTAATTAATGAACCTTGCCCTCATATATTCCAATGAGTGCAAACCTCATCCATTCTCATTGGGATACCAAGTTTCACCTTTTTTGCAATAAAACAAGCACATGAGAGACCATATGTTTTCACAATTGCGCATCCACACTTTGTGCTATCGGAGCCTTTACTGTCGACTTGTTTAACCTAGTGAAAAATATAATTCAAATCCGCACGAGAAATGTTTCCGAACAAATGAGAATATAGAGTATTGTCTTTAAATATGTGTTCCAAAACTATGATGCTCCGACCAAATGATGTCTCTATCTCATTATGCTAGTTTTGAATCATGTGTTTCAAAGAGTTCCAATCTCTACACAAATCGCCCTTACTATTTCCCAACCAAATTTTCAAAGTAGCATAGACAGACTCAACTCTATTAGTTGTTGTATTTTTAAGATGTCTAACATTATCAATCCATGCACAAACAATTTTCAAGATACTTCAACAAATATGGATACTTTTCACACACTTTCCTGAAATGCATAACAAAATCAACATATAGTTCTTTTGCAGAAGAATTTATTATACGATTCCATGCATCAATTATTTTTCCATAACCACACCCAACTTCACCATTTTTCCATCTTCGGACTCTATTTGTTTCGTCCCTACCGCGGGTTTAACCCGATTTCTCACATTCTTTGTTATGTGATACCTAGAAAATAATGCATTAGAAAAAGAAAATACCTTTGTAGCCGAATTCATCAAGGCGGTATCGCGGTCGTTAACAATCACTTTAGGCATCTCACATTGGTCCTTCAACACTGTCCGACACACTTCTAAGGCCCAAGTAAAATTGTCCTCTTTTTCAACTCGAGAAATGCAAACTCATTAAAATATGTCTTCTCAGTTGAGGTGACACCAACCATCTCCAATAATGAAAGTCTGTATTTGTTAGTCTCATAGGTTGAATCAAGTATGAACATAATAGGAGACATGTTGAACAACTTTATGGAATCAGGATGTGTTCAAAATATATTTCTAACAGTAACTCCATCCTTGCACGTTCAATACCTAGACACGTAACTTTTACCATCCGACAATTTTAAGAGTTGTTGCATTTCAGTTCTATCCCCCCTAAGCGCATTTTTAGTTTGGTATCGAATAATATACACTTGCTTGATATTTGATATATTTTTGGGTCTTTTCGTTTCAATGTTGCAAGTATATTTTTTAATTGAAGCAAATTCAATGTCATGTCAGCAACACATTCCTTCTCTTCCGGCATGAGCCGACACACACTAGGATGACCGACTAATTTTTCACATAAATCATGGTTATATAAACCACATATGATATTAAATTTTTAGTTTTGGTTTGCCAACACGTAACCACACATCAGTTTGGAGAGGAGTTCTATGTTTCCCGATTTTTTCACACGTCATTGCCACAAAAGCACATCTTCTATTTGAACCATTATCGGACCTTCCGATAACCACATTAAATCCAAGTTTAGAGGCCTTCATATGAATCCATTGAAGCATTTGATCACTAGATTCAAACTCTTGCTCGTTTTTAAATTAGTTGCCAACATCTACCGCCTTCACAACAACACTTTGGACAATCGGAGAAACAACTTATTTTAGGGAAACATCGAGGTGCATCATATCTAATGAAAAAAATTACAACATAACAGTATATAAGCACCACTGCTAAAAACAGAGTTGGAAAATGAACACAAACAAGTTCCAAAAGTTTATTTTCGAAAAAGTTCATACTCGTTCTGGAGATACATTTCTGGACACAACGCTCATTTTTTTCAGACATAATGCATGCTTAATATGAGCAATACAATGTGAAATAAAAGATCTTTACCTGAAACTCTAACTTCTTTTACTCCATTTGTTGTGATGAACCACAAATTGGAGATTTAAAGTGAAAAAATAGATTGAGAATGATGAGATTTTTTGGTGAGGGTTTGTGTTGGAAAACAACAATAGCAACAATAATTTTGTGATCATGCAACTTTGTCTTTTATCAGATTATTCTGAAGATACATCTCTAGAAAAAATATGACATGCAAAGGTGATAGAATATTTCAAACTCCCGCCCAAACTTCTGAAGATGTGGCTCCAGAGTTTCTACTGAAGTGATCAATTATAAATATATTTCTTGAAATATTTCGGAGATACATTTTTAAAATAAAAATAATCAAATAATAAGACGTTGCTCAGAATGACATGTATTAAATATATGATAAGATATGTCTAAAGATGTATCTCCAAAAACTATAAAACATTTTAATATTTTTGCGTGGTACGAAAGAAACATACATAATGCATTAAAAAATCCTCGTTAACCGCATCACATTTAAGAATCAATAATATATTTAATCTCCTTTTTAAATAGAAATCATTCTCTATAAAAATCACAATATTTTTTTGAGTGCTTAGAGTAATTACGGATACACACATTGAACTATAAAATAAATAACAAGTCGCGTGGGCCTCGAGCTCACTTTCAACTTTTTGACAAAAAAAAAAGAACTATACATTTTAATATTTTATATTAATAATAATTGAACACTACTATCACATATAATATAATATTAGTTTTTGAACAAACTGCCAAAACCAATCTCAAAGTTAGTTGTTATTAGAATTACAAAGTATAACAATATTATTTTCATCTTTCACTAATAAATAAACATAAACATTATTAAAACTCTCTTCAAGATTCAACAACACCATCTAGGTTTCATGTTGATGTTTTCATGATCACAACTTTAATCCATCCCTCACAAAGACAAATCATGTCACATAGAATTTCTGTTCTTTTCTTATCCTTTCTATTAATCACAACAACCAGTGTTTCTCTTGAAGATGGTTTCATTTCTGTGATTATATCTGATAAGGGTCTTGACTTTGCCAAAGACATTCTAATAAACCAAGCTATTGCATCTATAGTTGTTTCTCAGCTTCCACAAATTGAGAAATCTGTTCAAGTTCCTCTTGTTGGAAAAGCTCATGTGATTCTTTCTGAGATCACAATTAAGAATATTCAAGTGAGTTCTTCGTCTGTTGAAACTGGTGATTCTGCCATTGGTGTCGTTGTTTCAGGCGCTACTGCTAATTTGACCTTGAATTGGAGGTATACTGTTAGTAGTTGGTTGGTCCCAATTGGAATTTCGGATAGTGGAACTGCCACTGTTAAGGTATTCTATTGTATCAATTGTATTTGAATTTGACCTTATAATCTGATAGAAGATGTATTTGGTGTCTGACACAGACACCACATACGATACTGACACATGTGAGTAGGTTCAATTAACTCATTTTTTCAAACCTTTATCGGTGTTGATGTCTCATTGTCGTGTTTGTGTTGGTGTTTCATTGGTGAGATAATGTACTAGTAATCACTTACTTGGTTGTGTTATGCTATGTTTGGAAGGTTGAAGATATGCAAGTCGGACTAACTGTAAATTTAACGAACCAAGGAGGAACTTTAAAGCTGAATCTCTTGGATTATGGATGTGATGTTGGAGAATTATCTATAAAATTGAACGGCGGAGCAGCTTGGCTTTATCAAGTGTAAGAAAATTTCTTCAAAACATGATTTATGATACTAAATAGAAACTTTGTTAACATATCATACTCCGTTTTAAAGATTTGTTCAGATAAATGGATTGAGAGATAGATAGATAGATCGACAGACAAATAAATAAATAGATAGACAGATAGATAGACAGATCGATAGATAGATAGACCATAGGACAGATATATAGATAGACCGATAAACAAAAAGATAAATAGATAATAGATTAATGATTGAAGATGTTATGAGTTTTGTTTTTCACTGCAGGCTAGTTGATGCTTTTAAAGGAAATATAGGATCTGCAGTTGAAGATGCTGTTTCTAAGAAAATAAGAGAAGGCATACCAACACTTGACGATTTACTGCAAACTCTTCCGCAGACAATTTCGTTAGACAAAACTGCTGCTCTAAATGTTTCTTTCGTCGACAATCCTGTGCTGAGCAACTCTTCTATCGAACTCAAAATCAACGGTTTATTCAGTGAGAGAAAGGGTGTTTCAGTACCTCAAAGTTACCATAAAGGATCCGATCATATTTCTGTTTCCAATGGTGATTTACCAAAGATGATTAACATTTCAATACATGAAAATGTTTTCAAATCGGCCTCCGAAGTTTACTTTGCAGTAAGTTTCTGAATTCTGAAGATACATTCGCATTATTATAGACTCAAGTATAGTTTTGATAGTTTAGGCTGTTCTTGTCTTAGGCCGATGCGTTGCAATGGATACTTGATGAACTACCTAATCAGTCCATTTTGAACACTGCTGAATGGAAACTCATCATTCCTCAATTATACAAGCAATATCCAAATGATGACATGAACCTTAATGTCTCGGTATCTTCTCCACCGGTTATAGAAGTGTCTGATCAAGATATCGACGCTACCATTTCCATAGATTTAATCATTGATGTTTTGGAAGCCGGTGAAGTCATACCTGTTACATGCATCTCTGTGGTAACTGTTCTCACAATTTGTTACATTTCTACATTCTGATGACATGATCAATATCTTATCTTAACATGTTTCATTAATATTGCTTGTTGAAATAGAACATTAGTGCCTCGTGTGACGTGGAAATTGTTCGAAAAAGTCTCACCGGTCGGCTTAAATTGAAGAAGTTCTCCACATACTTGAAATGGAGCAAAATAGGGAAACTTCACATGAATGTGATTCAGGTAAGTAACAATAAATTCTTTTCACATGACTGTTATTAGTTACTTGTTAGTCAAGGCATTTATATGAATCTTACTCTTTTGCTTTGTAAACTTTTGCAGTCATTGACATCAACTGTCCTCAAAACCGTGCTGATCCCGTACTTGAACTCGCAGTTAAAGAAAGGAATTCCATTGCCGATTCTTAAGGGTTTCGCCCTTAAGAACGCACGAATCTTTAACACTCCGCCGTGGATTGGAGTGTCTAGTGATGTAACCTTCTTGGGAGACTACTATCTTAGACATCATCTAGCTTATGCATCATAAAACTACTCTCACAGAACACAGTACAGAGGATAGCTTTGAAGAGTGTATGTATTGTTAGGACTTAAACTTTTTGTAAATTATTCTGTTAAGAGAATTACTTGTTGAAGAATTTTCCTACAATCAACTTAGTTATTTGATATATTACATGAATGTTCTTTATTATTTTGATCAAACATTGGTATTTGATTTGTTAATTTATGAAAGAAAAAAAATAACTATTATAATATATTAAATCGAAAGCGGTGAATTATATTAGCACACGTAATATACTATGTAACTATATTTTATGTGTCACACTTAAGATCTAACAACGACAAATTTACATAATTTCACTTCAACTTCTATCTAAAACTCATATCTTACAACAACCTTATTATCTCCTCACAAGAGTTACTAACAATTAAACACATTTATCACCAACCTTAAATTTTTAATTTAATTTTTAAATTTTTTTATTATTATCTCTCAATTTTTTTATTAAATCTTCTTACCCTCCTTCTCTTTATTTCTTTTTTTAATAGAGTCTAATATCTAAACAAAATAACACTATTTTAATATAAAAGAAAACACTTAGTACGAAAATAAATTGACAGTTCAAAAATAAAATAAAATAATTAATTAATGACTAACAACAAAAAAATTATATTAAAAATATGTAAAGTTCTTATAAAATTTAATAACAACAATAATAAATATTTAAATTTACTCAAACATTACCAATTAATTAAAATTTTAAGACAAAAAATTAAGTTATCCCAAATTATTAGAGGTTATATCTATGGATAAACATAAAACACTACACTTGCACTTTATTTATTTGCACTATCACAAAACTTATAAATAACAAATATTTTTTAAATTAAAAAATACATTATTTTTGGGGCCTCAAACGGGAAAATTCCTATGAAATTTCCGCTAACAAATATACTGACATCCATATATATATATTAAAAAGATTATAATAAATTATCTTAATAATATTATATAAATTCATATAGAAAAAATTAAATGTATTTGAAACTATGTGAAAAATGAAAGAGATTTATTTTTCAAAAATTTAACATATTTATATTTAGTTTACTTGATTATCCTAAATATATAGTTTAAAATAAAATATTATAAATATAAATTGATAAATCATATTAATTTCAATACAAAAAATAAAATAATGCACACCTGCTCATCGCGGGTCCTAATCTAATTATTCTTATTTTGAAAGCACATGTATTAACATTTTCTATTTTTCCAAATAATAAGAAATATTAAGTACTGTTTTTATTTTTCCAAATAGTAAGAAATATTGAGTACTATTTTTATAACCTAAAAATATTTATTTTCCCAAATGCTATTGAACATGGGAAGAAGCTAAACTAATACTCCATATATCCATTAAGTTTATGGTGTTGTTTTAAAGTTATCAAGGAAACCAATAAATTTTGATAATTTTAATAGCATTATTTTTTTTATAATTTACTTTTCATGATATCAAGGTATAAGTTTTAAAAAAAATAAGGAGAGAAAAGAGTAGTAACTTGAGGATTAGGGTTAGATATTTCCATTTTTTCTAATTAGTTTTAGAAAATTATACAATTTTAAATTCGTTAAGCGTTGGATTGAGTTGATTTTTGAACACAACGTTTGTAAGACACAAAACTACACTTCTACTGATTGGATTGTTGAAACAAGCTCTGAGTACAGACATATAGTTTTTGAACGAAAATACGTTTTTTAGAGATGTTCTTCTAGAGTTTGAAAGAAAACTTAATCGACATGACCTGCTCTGGGACAGACCATCAGCATGGAGACCTTTCATAGTTGACTCTTATTCCTTGAATGACTCATATGTCTTCATCTCAACCCCAAACACATAAGAAATCATTTGCACAAGTTTTTCAAAATATGTGATATACTGATTTCTAGTTTTTCTAAGCATTGCCTTTAAGGTAATCGTCTATTGATCAAAATACCTGAATATGCTTACAAAGTAGCACTCGAACGTTGCAATGCAAAAATAATTTACGTAAGAGATTGATCACTAGTAAAGGTAACGTGGCATTGAAGGCATCACAATTACATGACAAACTCATGAAATTATGGAGTCCAATTACTAATTGGGATTTAACTTCTTTTGAACGTGACTATTTTGAATTTTCATTAAAATCAAGAAAGGATCTCAACAAAATTTAAAGTGTGGATACATGAATGTTAAGCCTTCACTCACACGTTTGTTTGCATGGACGCTATATTTTAGACTTAAAAATTTGAATATTACATATGCTCATGTGATTGAGGATGCATGGTTTGCCATTAGAGTATTGGAATTCAACGGTTAGGAAACTAACAACAACAAAAACAAGTTTCTACGCACGTGGAAGCATGCCCACAAAAAGAAGAGGAAGAAAACATTAAAAGAAACTCACAAAATCATAATTCAACTTCTAATTTTTACAAGGATAAAATTATAAATCATCTCATACAATTGCAATTTTTAAGGAGATATTTGCAAACTCACTAAATTACAATTTTGAACGAAAAAATTGTAAACTCTCTTAATTATATTTTTGGATGAAAAAATTGCAAACTCTATCTCAATTATAATTTTTGAACAGAAAAATTGCAAAACCTTAACTCTGATACCAGTTGTTGAGAAAATAACAAAAAAAAATTTATATGCACGCGAAAGTATACCCTCAAAAAGAAAAAGAGCAAAATATTTAAAAATAAAACTCACAAAGTCATAATTCAACTTATAAAAATAAAAATATATAAATATATATTGTGCGGGTATGGGGCAAGTGGGTGCGAATGTAGTCGTATCCGCTCTCATACCCACTTATTTTAATGGTTAATTGCGCGTGTCCATGCTCATATCCATTTTGCGAATCTTTACCCTATTCGTTGTTGGTAATTTTTGTGGGTACCCATTGGAGATGAGTCTAATTGTCATCTCGAAAACCACCAAATTATAATTTTTGAACAGAAAAATTGCAAACCCCTTCTCAATTATAATTTTTCGACCGAAAAATTGCAAACTCTATCCCAATTACAATTTTTAGACAAAAAAATTGCAAAACTTTAGCTCTGATACCATTTGTTGGGAAAATAACAAAAAAAATCAAATTTTTACGCATGCGGAAACATACTCACAAAAATAAAATTCACAAAAATTTTAAAAATAAAATTCACAAAATCATAATTCAACTTGTAATTTTTACAAGGGCAAAATTACAAACGTCTCATATAATTTCATTTTTTAAGGAGAAAATTACAACTCAAATGATAATGGGCATGGTACTATACTACCCATCCGCATACCTGCGGTTTCAAAGAATCCTCGTATCCGAGTTCATACCGGTATAGACACTAACGCTTGTACTCATACCCATACTTTTTGGGTACCTAAGTATCCATATTCATACTCGTTTACCGACATTTCTAATAAAATATAATCAATCAATTCTAATTTATCATTTTAAGTTTTTAACAATATTTAAAAAAATAAATGATGTTATTGCTGAGTTAAGAAATAAACAAACATTTATATTAAAATGCGTAAAAGTTAAATAGTGATGTATTTAATAAAATTAACAAACTAACATGTGTAAATAATAATAAAAATAAAAATATATAAATATATATATATTGTGCGGGTATGGGGCGGAGTGGGTGTGTGTCGTAGAGAGAATCAGAGACCATAGCTATTTAGTTAGCTAGGCTTCACAAATCTTAAAATATCACCATTGATCTTTAATTTTTTCAAGGGAATGTTGAGTTTGTAATTCCTTGTGTCGAAGCAGTGTAGCTCGACAGGAACAAGGTCTAGTCGAATTAGCCTAATGTGTGTGTCGGGTTGTATTAGTGTGTTGAAGTGTCGAAGTAGGTTACTTCACACAGGATTTCAACTTAGGCATATTTTAGTAACGTTAGCTATTTTGGCCTTTTGTAGTTTTGAGTTTTGCCTTGTGGTGCAAGTTAACCTAAATCTATAAATAGGGAGAAACTCTTATTTTGTAAGCAACACAATTCATAACATTGTATTCACAGTTTGCAGTTGCAAGTGAATAAGAAAGTTTCCACAATTTGTGGACAGAGAGAAACTCTGCAGAATTATTCATCTTCTTCTCCAACGTTATTTTTCTTTCTTTCTTTCTCAACCTTTTCTTTTCATTGTCATTGCATGATTGATAACAACCTTGAGATCAAGATTGAATAGGAATTCTTCATAGGTTGTGGTTGAATTCCAACAGGGAACGGGTAAAGAAAGAATAACCCATAAACATGCAATGCAAAGACAAAGCAATAAAGAGATCTAAGGTACGAGGGTTAGTTATACTAAGGGAATGTATTATCACCCTAAGTATCTATAGTATCTATAAGAAAAACTTGTTGTATTTGTGTTATGCTTAAGTTGTTTGCTATTTGGGATTAATTGAGGAGATGAGAAGAGAAATGTTTTTTTATTGTTTTTGTGTTTGGCAAGACATAAAGTCTTGTGCATACGTATCAATAAAGGATCAAAACCTCATAGTTCGGGGTACAAATTGAAAAGTGTTTGTTATGGTGGATTTTAATAAAGAAGAGACAAGTTGTCATCTTAAGGAGAATACTCATCTAAACTGCCACAAACATGTGGAAGAGAGGTCGTTATTTCACATTGAGAGAATGATCCCAACTTGGATATATAATCAACAAGTATACCACATACCTCTCTCAAATGAAAAAGAATCAACATCTTTCTCAACAATGTCATGGGGTAGGAGATTTATATCTCAACTAAGAATGACTGATGTCTAATCTATTTTGAAAAGGTTTTTAATTGAAAAGCCAAGGTGGCAAAAGGTTTGAATTGAAGTTTGTGTCTTTTAGTTTTTTGTGAAAAAGTTTTGAATATGCTTAAGATGTCTTGAAGCATTTGTTAAGAAAAAGTTTGAAAAAGCCAATGACCTAATGTCAAGGTTTCTTTTGAAAGTGGTTTTTGAGTTTGAAAGAGGGGAAACCCT